GAAAAAGAAATAGTTGTTTGTTTGCTTGTTTTTAGGGTGGATGGGACAATGGACAATTGAGAGAAGATGGAGTGGAGCTCTTTCTCCTGTTTCTGCTTCTAAGCAGCGTTGCCGTTCTGGGGAAAGGAGCTCGGGAGGAGGACCGCTCGGAAGAGAGAAAGGTGAGGAGCGGTGTGACGGTGAATTCTCTGGGCTTGCTCTTTATCTCCTGGGTCCTGGACAAAAGGTTCTTTTAAGTTCTAGCAACAGCAACAACAACAATACCTTTTAGATCATGGTAACTGCTATATCCTGCGTATGCATTGGGCTGTGCTCTGTACGGTCGGCAGTTCGAAACCACCACCACAGCTCCATGGGAGAAAGACTGGGCTTTTTACTCCTGTAAAATAGTTAGTCTCAGAAACCCGGGAGGTTTCGATCTGCTCTGTAAACAGACTGATCTGCTCTGAGTCAGTATGGATTTGCTCTGTAAACCATTACCCAACTCACAGTAAAAGAAAAGGAAATTAAAAAGTTGGCAGAAAACATGAGAAATTTCACTGAGGAGATGGGAAATAAACATGTGAAAAGATATTCGAGATGGCTAACCACTGGAGAAGTACCAGCCGGCCAAGACAACCTCCAGACATCACTACCCATCCACTCCAATAGATAAATTACAAAGCAGCCGCAGTGCTACCACCGACTGGAGGCAGCGCTATCAGGCCTCTGACATATTACTACTCATCTCCTGTAAAATGGCACAGACTCCGGAGCATAGTTGGGCAATTTCTTATAAAACAAATTAGGAGCCATCAAATCGGTTCTGACGGATGAGGACCCCAGTGACACAAAAGGAAATACTGCCCGGTCCTGGCCCATCCTCCCAGGAGTTTTATGTTAGAGCCCATTGTTGCAGCCACTATGTTCATCCATCTTGCCGAGCGTCTTCCTCTTGTTCGCGGTCCTTCCACCTTACCAAGCATGATGCCCTTTTCCAGGGACTAGCCCTTCCTGATAACCTGTCCAAAGTATGTGAGACACAGTCTTGCCATCCTTGCTTCTAAGAAGCAACTGCCTCTACTTCTTCCAAAACCTATTGGTTTGCTCTCTTGGCAGGGATAGGACTCAGTGGTAAAAAGGAATGATAGGTGTGCATATTATGCAGAACGGAAAAATCAGTCTGAACGATCACATAGTTTCTGATTGTCATTACATTCCTGAAATGACAAACACATGGACATGGGAAACAGCTCAGTGGTTACCAGAGATGGCAGAGGGCACAGAAGAGTGGGAGGCACTATAACGGGGTGAAGTGAGGGGGATCTTTGTGATGGTGAAATACTTCTGGTAATAACTCCGGGGGCGGGGGTGGGAGGAGGGCGGTTGTTAAGAAATGGGGGAAAACCAGGTAAAGAGTGCATGGGATTTCTCAGTACTCTTTGCAACATCCTGCAAATTT